CCCTAGTCTATAACAATAAAAGGATCCATACAACTAATATTAACATACTTATTGTAGTTGCATTAATATAGCTTCTATAATGCTAATTTGGGATATATTGTATTACATTTTAATATTTTATAATGTATAATTGTTAAATACTTTATTGCCATAAATTTATAATAAACTTTTCTTTCTTTCTTTAAATTACTTCACATACATTATTCCAGGGATCTGTACTAACACACTGAAAGATAGGCAAGGATTTTTTTTTAGATCCTAAATGGAGTTCATGATGGAAGAGAGACTTGAGCTGAGGATTTCCCATCACACTTACTTACATGGCCACAATAGTTCATTGACGGGGTAAGCTGAAGTCAATATAAAAGCTTGGATTCTATGAACAGGTTCTGGGCTGCCATAAATAGCCTCTGGAATGAAGTATGCTTCCTTTGGAGCTCACACTTCCATTGCCACAAGGAATAATTGAAAACCATTGATCCTGTACTAACAGAAGCTCTAGAATACAAGTGGCACTGTTCAGCCAAATTCACTTAATCTTCTTTACTAATTTCTCCCTGGAATCCAACAATCCTGTCATTTCCCTATTTTTAGGAATCAATTCCATTTTGATCAATAGAGAAATTTATAGGAGCAAGAAGAAAGGTTTTACAAAATTTCAGATTTTAATTCTGCAAATACTCAGAAGCAGGCAATGTCTTCCCAAAGCTACCTCCCTCCAGGTAGAGCACCCTGTAGTGTATAATATCAGATGTAAAATAAAAACCCTGAAAGGGCTGAAGTTACCAAGGGGTACCTAGAGGAACATCAAAAAGTTCATAGAGGAATAAAAGGAGAAATTCTTCTTTTAAAAGTGAATTTGGGAAATAGAAATTCCATTTCCCATAACAATGCTACAGAAGAGGAAGGGTGTTCTGCAGCAGAGACTATCCAGTATGCTCAGAACTTGTTCATAGGATCAGATCCAATGTGTGTATTCTGAGGGTACAACAGTGGCTATATGTCACAGACACTGTGACACTACTGTAGAAATGTGTTAGCTTTTTGGGAAGACAGATAGGGAGGGAGGCTGCTATTTGACACTAGTAAAACTTCACCCACTGTTGCTTTCAGGTCCCTTAGACACCATATTTAGCAAACCTTTCTTCACTTCTTCATTCCGAAGACTATAGATGATGGGGTTTAACATGGGAGTCAAAATAAAGTAAACCACAGAGGGTGCCATTTCTTGATCCAGAGAGTCTTTTGAGATGGGTTTCAGGTACCTAAAGAAAATAGTTCCATAATAGAGAACAACAACAGTCACATGAGACGAACAAGTGGAGATGGCTTTATGTTTCCCTTCTGTGGAGCTAATTTTTAAGATAGCAGAGATTATGTGGACATAGGAAGCTAATGTTAGGAGTAGAGCCCCCATCCCTAAAAATGAACCCAGTGTAAAAACCACCATATGATTTGGAAAAGTGTTGCTGCAAGAGATTTTGAACAGTTGTGGAAGCTCACAACTGAAGTGATGAATTACATTGGGGCCACAGAATTTTAAAGTTGTCAGCAGTATGGTGTTTAGCAGAGCATAGAGAAAGCCAATAACCAAGGCCCTACATATAAGCTGAGAACAGACCTGCTTATTCATCCTCACTGTATAATGCAAGGGATGGCAGATAGCTATGTACCAATCGTATGCCATCACAGACTGGAGAAGACCTTCACCTACTGAGAGGCAGACAACAAAGAAGACCTGGGTAAAACAGCCATGAACTGAAATGGTTTTTTTTTTTCTCCAAAAGGAAGTTCTCAAGCATTTTTGGAACCGTGACTGAGGAAAAAGCAAAATCAAGAAATGCTAAATAAGAGAGGAAGACATACATGGGAGTGTGAATATGTGGGTCTACTCTTATCACCACAATAATAGCCGTGTTACCAAATAGGATTATCAAATAGATTAGTAGAAACACAACAAAGAGCAAGATCTGGAGCTCTGGGTTGCTGGAGAGTCCTAACAGGATGAACTCTGTCACTATGGTTTGATTGTCCATATATGTAGTGATGTTTCTCCCTGGAAAAAGAAGGGGAGAAAAAAAGGGGAAAAAATGAAATTAAGCTGTGCTGTTCTAGTATGATATTCCCAAACTTGCATCCTGATCCAGCAAGAAACCATATACATGTGAAAATATACTTAATTAAATTGCACCAGTAATTATTGACAGAAGATTTTACTGAATTGAGATCATTTCAGGATAATTCATTTGGGTAACTTAAATCATAGATCGTAGGAATTAACTGCAGAAACATTGTCATTGATATTGTTATTTTAGCAATCCAAAAACATTATGCTGCTAACCTAAGTATTAATATTGGGAATTGCTTCTAATATTGTATGCCAATAAAAGTTATTTGACTTTGATATTGTTATTTTAGCAATCCAAAAAAATTATGCTGCTAGCCTAAAAAAATTGAAAATGATTAAAAGTTATGTACAATTTATATTTTCACATTCCTACAGGGAACTCTATGAACAGGTTCTGGGCTGCCATAAATAGCCTCTGGAATGAAGTATGCTTCCTTTGGAGCTCACACTTCCATTGCCACAAGGAATAATTGAAAACCATTGATCCTGTACTAACAGAAGCTCTAGAATACAAGTGGCACTGTTCAGCCAAATTCACTTAATCTTCTTTACTAATTTCTCCCTGGAATCCAACAATCCTGTCATTTCCCTATTTTTAGGAATCAATTCCATTTTGATCAATAGAGAAATTTATAGGAGCAAGAAGAAAGGTTTTACAAAATTTCAGATTTTAATTCTGCAAATACTCAGAAGCAGGCAATGTCTTCCCAAAGCTACCTCCCTCCAGGTAGAGCACCCTGTAGTGTATAATATCAGATGTAAAATAAAAACCCTGAAAGGGCTGAAGTTACCAAGGGGTACCTAGAGGAACATCAAAAAGTTCATAGAGGAATAAAAGGAGAAATTCTTCTTTTAAAAGTGAATTTGGGAAATAGAAATTCCATTTCCCATAACAATGCTACAGAAGAGGAAGGGTGTTCTGCAGCAGAGACTATCCAGTATGCTCAGAACTTGTTCATAGGATCAGATCCAATGTGTGTATTCTGAGGGTACAACAGTGGCTATATGTCACAGACACTGTGACACTACTGTAGAAATGTGTTAGCTTTTTGGGAAGACAGATAGGGAGGGAGGCTGCTATTTGACACTAGTAAAACTTCACCCACTGTTGCTTTCAGGTCCCTTAGACACCATATTTAGCAAACCTTTCTTCACTTCTTCATTCCGAAGACTATAGATGATGGGGTTTAACATGGGAGTCAAAATAAAGTAAACCACAGAGGGTGCCATTTCTTGATCCAGAGAGTCTTTTGAGATGGGTTTCAGGTACCTAAAGAAAATAGTTCCATAATAGAGAACAACAACAGTCACATGAGACGAACAAGTGGAGATGGCTTTATGTTTCCCTTCTGTGGAGCTAATTTTTAAGATAGCAGAGATTATGTGGACATAGGAAGCTAATGTTAGGAGTAGAGCCCCCATCCCTAAAAATGAACCCAGTGTAAAAACCACCATATGATTTGGAAAAGTGTTGCTGCAAGAGATTTTGAACAGTTGTGGAAGCTCACAACTGAAGTGATGAATTACATTGGGGCCACAGAATTTTAAAGTTGTCAGCAGTATGGTGTTTAGCAGAGCATAGAGAAAGCCAATAACCAAGGCCCTACATATAAGCTGAGAACAGACCTGCTTATTCATCCTCACTGTATAATGCAAGGGATGGCAGATAGCTATGTACCAATCGTATGCCATCACAGACTGGAGAAGACCTTCACCTACTGAGAGGCAGACAACAAAGAAGACCTGGGTAAAACAGCCATGAACTGAAATGGTTTTTTTTTTTCTCCAAAAGGAAGTTCTCAAGCATTTTTGGAACCGTGACTGAGGAAAAAGCAAAATCAAGAAATGCTAAATAAGAGAGGAAGACATACATGGGAGTGTGAATATGTGGGTCTACTCTTATCACCACAATAATAGCCGTGTTACCAAATAGGATTATCAAATAGATTAGTAGAAACACAACAAAGAGCAAGATCTGGAGCTCTGGGTTGCTGGAGAGTCCTAACAGGATGAACTCTGTCACTATGGTTTGATTGTCCATATATGTAGTGATGTTTCTCCCTGGAAAAAGAAGGGGAGAAAGAAAGGGGAAAAAATGAAATTAAGCTGTGCTGTTCTAGTATGATATTCCCAAACTTGCATCCTGATCCAGCAAGAAACCATATACATGTGAAAATATACTTAATTAAATTGCACCAGTAATTATTGACAGAAGATTTTACTGAATTGAGATCATTTCAGGATAATTCATTTGGGTAACTTAAATCATAGATCGTAGGAATTAACTGCAGAAACATTGTCATTGATATTGTTATTTTAGCAATCCAAAAACATTATGCTGCTAACCTAAAAAAATTGCCAATGATTAAAAGTTATGTATAATTTATATTTTCACATTCCTACAGGGAACAGAAACAGTAGTTTCTGTATTGCTTATCACCAAAATGGCACAAAGTTTACATGTAATTCAGATGTCCCAAATGAACTGTATCCTAAAATCTGTAAAATCACCAAGAAACCAACATCAGTGCACATCTACAAGTCTGTATAATCAAAAATCTTTGACTCCTCAGTGACCTTGGCAGGGGCAAACCTCTTGTGAATGTTGCATGTTTTCATACTACTCTGCTACCACATTAGATTGAAAATTCCCCCCCCACACACACACCAGAACATAAACAAACTGGATGTCCGGAATACATGAACCAGTTCTATTTCACACATATTCCCACTCATAGTCAGGTATAGAATCGTACGTACAAACAAGTTCTGCAAACTTGATTCCAGAGCTAAGTTAACATTGGCGGCTGCTGTATGAAAGGGGACTGTAAATGAAGCTGACATAATGGGAGGGAGGATTCGTTCACATTATCACTTCCTCTTAGGGAATTCCAACTTCTTTACACAACTCTGATTATTTTTCACCCCCTCCAAAAAAAAAGCCTTGTCAAATGTATACTATAGTCAAACAAGGTAAATCTGACTGTTGAACATATTCAGTATAAAATTCTCAGCATTCCCACCAGCTGCAAGTAGAGAGCTGGGGTAGCTTGTTTACAGGCTCATAGAATTCATCCCCTTGGTTCAATTTTCTTGAAACCTGGTTCTTTAGTAGACAGGCAGCACTCACTCTGCTGCAATTTTGGTGTTATTTGGTTGAAAAACAGCCACTCCAGCTTCTCTGAAAAGTCCCCCGGGGGCAAATGGTAGGATGTACTAAAAATGAATGACATGAATTCCTATTGGGAACAATAGAAGATGCCCGAAGGTCCACTGAATATTTCCTGCCTTTTCATGAATAAAACTTTCATTTCATTGCAGATACCAAAGAGATGTTCAGAGCTATTCTATGCCAAGATAGATAAATTCCCTTCATTTTTGACCCCGAAAGTCCCACCATCATCCTGAAGCTGATGGCTTCTAGCTTTATTTTCTGATGAGTTATACCTGCAACAAACAGAACACCTTACTTTCAATTAGGAACAGCAACGGTGTATGTGTGGTTTGTTGAAATAACCTGGGCAAAGATGGTCTGATCCAGGGGTCTCATCCTGCCGGAGTGCCCCGGTACGGCGCTCCGGGAGAGACACTTGGGGGGCAGGGCTTCACCATGTCACTTGCACAGTGCCTCGCAACGGGCGCACAGCAAACTCCGCACTGAAACACCTCCAGCCGGTAGCAACACCAACTCCGCTCTAGAAGCCAACGGATCCCTCTCGAGCAGCGCTATTTCTGTTTTCTGCTCGTTTATTTTACGGAAAAATGCAAGCGACACCAAGCCAGGAAGCCAGGAAGCGGTCACTGGTGTGCACTATTGAAGTTAGCAGATCTACTTCGCCTGCGGAGGACTGCGTTGTTTCTCCCTGGCCCTTACTGTCCTCCTGTCCCACGTGACACTCAGGGAGAAATGTGCGCACGCGCTAAGAGAAAATGGGCAAAGTGGCGGGGAGGGGGAGG